TACGAAGGTGGTTTTCCCAGGGTGAGGCTTTTCTATTGCACTCCGGATGTGCTGACCCCGCGATTTCCCCAAATGTGGGGAGACTCAACTGCATAATCTCTGTTGGCACTCTCCCCTACTTAAAACAATAAACAATAAAAATAAAATAAGGCATTAGCCTACTGTTGTTTCCATAATAAAATTTAGTAGAAGCTGCACACTGAACTGGAACTGGATTTTTGAGACAGAGTCTCATCTAGGCCAGACTGGCCTCAAACTCACTTGAGGGTGACCCTGGTCCTCCCACTTCCATCTTCCAAGTATTAGAATTACAGGTGTTCTCCCACCCTCCCTCCCTCCCTCCTCCATTCCCTCCCTCCCTTCTTTAGGATTAAGGAAGTTCTTTATGCCAGAAAATTAATTGAAATGGGTCAGGAGGGTAGGCTGCCCATTTTTACCTGCTTTTCCTTATGGGGCAAATGATTGTATGATGAAAGCTATTTCTTAAAAGTTAGGATCCTGGGACTGGAGAGATGACTGCTCTTGCAGGGCACCTGTAATCAGTTCTCAGCCCCACATGGCTGGCAACATTCCAGTACTAGTCACAGGTGATCTGGTGGCTTCTTCTGACCTGAGGGCACCAGGCACTGTGGTGTACATGCAAACATGCAGGCAAAGCCATCATACACATAAAATGAAGTACATAAGTTCTTTAAAGGGTCCTTTCATGTAGTAAAGATGGTGGTAGGTATACTTGCAGGATAATAGACAGGAAAAAATGAAATTTCATGTTGTACATTAAGTAATTTACTTTATTTACCACTTAAAATAATTTATTCAGGGCAGGAGAGTGACTTGGTAGTTGAGAGCACTGAGTTCAATTCCCAGTAATCTCACAGTGACTCACAACTATCTGATGCCCTATTCTGTCATGAAGGCATACATGAAAATAGAGCACTCATGCATAAATAAATAAATAAATCTTTAAAAAATAATTTATTCAGTGCCAGCAAGATGCTCCTTGGGTAAATGTGCTTGCAGTTCAATTCTAACCACTGGTTTCAATCTCAGGAGCCATTATGGAAGGAGAGATGACTCTTCTAAGTTGTCCTCTGACCTCCACACACATGCCGC